TGTAGAATCCTAGTTATAAGAGCAGGGGCGTTCCAGGCAGAGAATCCAGGGTTAGAATCCCATCCGTGCCTTTTACAAACTATGTGACCTCAGACACATTACCCCACCTGCCTGAATCTATACAATAGGACTGTTAGCATGTAAATTATTTAGCACAAGGCCGGAACATCTTAAGGGCTCAGTGAATAGTAACTATTTATGATTGGGAAGCCTGTATTAAATAGTAGATATTGTCTGAGTTAGCCTGTGAAGCATGAACAGAATTATGGCATGAAGAGTATTTGGCAGTGCCTGGCTGATGTGGCTCACTGGTTGAGCGTCAACCTATGAACTAGGAGGTCATGGTTCAATTCCTAGTAAGGGCACATATCTGGGTTGTGGATTAGATCCCCAGTAGGGGGTTTGTAGGAGGCAGCTGATCAATGATTGTCTCATCATTGATGTTTTCTCTCTCTCTCTCCCTCTCCTTTCCTAAATATATATATATATATTCAGCATGGCTAGGCTAGCATGTCCATGTTGAGACCAGTATGGAGAGACCAAAATGTCCTCTACAAACCATGCTATCTCATCACGTACAGCAACTTAATGCTATTTCACTAGAATCCTTCACAACTGGGAGTATTTTTTAAAAAAATTCATTTCTACATGGATGATTACTCACTTCTTGAAAGTTCACTATGCATAAAAGATCTAACACAAAACAACAATATATGAATATAAAATTAAACATTATTTTTCCTACAAAACTGAATGCTGTAGGTAATACAGATTTAATTCTTAACTTCTAGTCTCTTATTCATAGTCAATTAATCCTGCAATTCCTTGTCAAGTGTACCTATTTACCTTTTCTCTTAATAAATACAAAAATATTGAAACACCATTCATTTTACAGAAAAAAATGAACCTAGTAGTTTCAGCTGGTGTGTACTGTGTTGGCAAATGTTATATATTCAATGAACATGGTTTCAAAATGATGGCCTTCTGCCCTGCTGGCGTGGCTCAGTGGTTGAGCATGGACCTATGAACCAGGAGGTCATGGTTCGATTCCTGGTCAGGGCACATGCCTGGGTTGCAGGTTCAATTCCCCCCGTAAGGGGCATGCAGGAGGCAGCCAATCCATGATTCTCTCTTATCACTGATGTTTCTATCTCTCTCTCCTTCCCCCTTCCTCTCTGAAATCAATAAAAATATATTTTAAAAAAAGAAAAACAAAGAAAGTAGAATAAATTTCACTGCTCCATACAGGGGAAAAATGATTTTTGTAGGCTTCCCTACAGAGTGTTCATTTCTCTGTAAATAATAATAATAATAATGCTTAAAAAAAGACATAACCAGTGACAGTCATATTTGAGGAGAGAAAAAAGTTAAATTTGCCAAAAAGCCATCCCTAAAACATGTGACAACTGTTTAGTAGATTAAATCTGCAAATCATCACAAAATTTAAGCCCCCAACGTTGTAAACAATATGCAGCGTGCTCTTTTGTTCCTGGCGTGTCATCAACAAATTACCAGGATGTGTTTTCTCCTCAGGTGTCAGTTTTTCCCTCTCCCAGTGACGGATGGCTCCCAGTGTTATTACAGAAACAGATTGATCTTTTTAATGAGCCAGTTTAATAGACTCCAGCATCTCGACGTGGCTGCTCATCCATGTCAGACCATATGCACCCACAAAACATTCAGTGAAACAAACAAAAAAAAACCTCTGCTGTCAGGCGGCCCCGTCCTCTACCGCATCTCCTCCAGCGGGTCTGGAGGCGCAGATAACCAGAGGAGAGGAACATGCAGATGCAAACAAGATGCAGGGAACACAGGCAGAGGCAGGCGAGAGCGGCCCGTATTTTCTCGGCTCCGATCGAATTCCCACAAGATGCAAGTGTATTTACACAACATGTTCTCATGCCCCTTCCTCCGAACTCTAAGGCAATCCGTTTGCCATCTTCCCATTGCAACACACCTTCCGGGGCACCACGTGAACAAGAAAGCTCCATCCGAGGAGCAAGCTTGTGCATCCCCACTCCGGCCGCTAATTCTGCCGATGAGTGACCACGGGGAGGATGTAGCCGGAGGCGCTCAGAGTCCTGCCTGACCCCAGGCATGCACGCACACACGCAGCCACAGCGCACTAACGTGCCGTGTCCGTGTCCGTGTTAGCATGTCCTTCAGGGCTGACCTCACTGCCTGAGGAACGTCTAAAGGCACAGTCCTTCCAAACATAAATCACTGGAAAAGGAACAGTGGGGCGATGGCTGGGAATATAGAGAAATGAATGAAAACTGAATGTAGAGAAATGAATGAAAACTGAATATAGAGAAATGAATGAAAAAGGTGGTCAGGCTGCCTGTTGTGGCTACTTAGCAGCGAGGGTTTCTAAAATACGTTATGTCCGTTTCCAATTTTGCCTATAGGATGACTTTTATATGTATCACAGGTATCTAAACCTTTCCCTGTTACCCTTGCCTCCACCCAAGCAAATGTTTTTTTCTCCCCAGTTTCCCACCCGGTCTCTCCCCGATTCTTTCCATACACTGTTCTGAAAGAAGTGGGGGTGCACCCGCTTTTTCTCATCTCATACCTGCACCCAAGACTGCCTTCCCGCAGGTAAACAGGATCAGACAGGGTGCACAGGGAGGCATCTATCCTGGGGCCGCTTCTTGGTTTTCAGGTTGTGTCATGCAGACACCTGGGTTAAGTAGCTCCCTGTAAAAGCTAAAGGACTAAATGCTTACATATGGCCGAGGAAAGATGGCTTGCATAAATAAAAATAAAAAAGTAGCACTACTGGTAGGTCACGTATGAAGGTGAGTCTACAGCATGTCAGAAGTAAACTAATGTGTAACCTTTGCTTCAGGAATTTTACACTATTAAGAGGGAGGTCCTATGTCAAGAGGGAAATTCCAGAGACTTTAGCATAGAAATTATAGTAACTGTATGTAAACTGGCTCGCTGTTAATAACATTCTGTGTGCCCTAGCCAGTTAGGCTCAGTGGCTAGAGCGTCAGACTGGGAACTGAAAGGTCCTGGGTTCAATTCTGGTCAAGGGCACGAACCTCGGCTGCAGGCTCCTTCCCGACCCGGGCCCTAATCGGGTGCGTGCAGGAGGCAACCAATCGATGTGTTTCTCTTACACTGATATTTCTCTCTGTCTTTCCCTCTCTCCTCCACTCTCTCTAAAAATCAATGGAAAAATATCCTTGGGTGAGGATTAAAAGAAAAAAGAATAATATTTTTAAAATGACAATTTCAATACTGTGTGTCTAAGAACCATCAGTGGCAGATAGCACATTTGAATAGCATTCATCTTTACCTTTTACTTTATTTAATTTTTAAAGGATTTTTTATTTTTTTAATTTTAGGAAGAGAGGAAAGGAGAGGGAGAAGAGGAGGGAGGGAGGGAGGGAAGAGGAGAGAGAGAGAGAGAGAGAGAGAGAGAGAGAGAGAGAGGTTGGTTGTTCCACATATTTAT